AGATTTTGCAGATAGGTGGATGGACGGACAACGGATGGATGGATGGATAGATGGACAGATGGATGGATAGATGGCGGACGGACAATGGATAGATGGAAGGAGGGATAGATGATAGGTGGATTTAGGGATGAGTGCCTTCCAATGTGATAAATACAGCCACAGCTGTACTGATGGGCGAGGTCAGGAGGCCCACTGTCTGAACTGAGTCCAGGAGGGTAAGTTTTGGCTTATGGGACAAGCAGAAGAGTGAGATGGGCATTTTGGACAGAGGGAACAGCATGTTCAGAGCACCCTGAGGGGTGCTGAGAACTCGAGGGAGGGGTTTTTCATCTCAGCACTGTAGACCTTGGGGGCAGTGGGGAGGGGTCCTGGGCACTGCAGGACGCTCAGCAACATTCATGGCCCCTCCCCCTAGGTGCCAGCAGGTGTCACCTCCCCTCCAGCTGCGACAGCCAAAAATGTCTGCAGACATTGCTGAATGTTCCCTTGGGAGGCAAAATCACCCCCATTGAGAACGCCTTCTCCAGCAGGGTCTGACATGCTCGTGTCCAAGGTACAAAGTAGCCGTGAGAGGAAGGGAAGCCAGTGGCCTGCATTGAAGGATGTCAGGCAAGGACTTAAGGATGGTGTGCTGTGGGGATGAGGGGCTGGCATGGATTCTGCAGGGAGGGCCCCACGCACAACTCTGGCAAACACAGGAGGAGAGGTGGGGACTGAGTAGAGAGAGAGTAGGTGAAGGGCCATCTGCAAGCCCAGGCCAGACCAGAGCCAACCCTCCAGCCCCAGGCAGGGAGGGAGCCCCAGGGCTGTGCTGTTTCCTCGTGGAGCCTCTCCCAGAGCCCCACCATCAGGTCTGGGAGCCTGCATGGGATGGCCACAGGTGAGAGCAGATGGAATTGGAGGAAGCATTCTCCCAGGGCTGAAGGCTTCTCAACACTAAGGCAGAATCAGGCAGAGGGAAATGGAGGTTCCAGCCCCAGCAACTCCACTCTTCATCGGTGAAGCTTGGACAGATCACTGCATTGATTACTGCCTCAGTTTCCTCATCAGTGAAATGGGTGTACTAGGTGAGGCTACTGGGAAGAGTAATGAAATTACAGACAAGAGCGCCCTGCACAGCCCGTCCCTGGTCCAGAGCAAGTGCTTTAGACTTTTTCATCTTCCAAAGGCTCTGTCCTGACACTCATATTCCACACTAGAAAAGACTGTTCAGTGACAGAATCTAAAGAGGGGTTTCATAATTACACACCAAGTTCCATCTGTGTTTACATCTTCTAAAAGGAAAACCATGATTTAACATCGGAGCCAAATATTGGCCGGCATTGTGGCATAGTGGGTAAAGTCACCACCTGCGACACTGGCATCCCATGTGGGCGCCAGTCCATGGCCCTGCAGATCCACTTCCAGTCCAGTTCCTGGCTAATGTGGCTGGGAAAGCAGTGGTGGATGGCCCAAATGTTTGGGCCCCTGCACCCACATGGGAGACTGGATGAAGCTCCTGGCTTCTAGCTTTGGCCTGGCCCAACCCCAGCTATTATGGCCATCTGGGGGAGTGAATCAGAAGATGGAAAATCTCTTTCTCTCTCTCCGCCCCGCCCCCCCGTCTTTCTCTCTCTGGCCTGCAAAAATAAATAAATAAATAAATCTTTAAGGAAAAACATTTCTGATAACCACCTTAGCTTCAAACCCCACCATCTGACTGGAACCTAACCAAAGGGCTGAGGGCTGTGTTCGGGCTTACCTTGCTCCTCTACCTCAGGCCTGTGAGCTGAGTTCCAATGCTACCGTCCTCATTTTACACGCGAGAAGGCTGAGGCTAAGGCAGGTCAGGGAACCCACCCCAAGCCATTAGCCAAGGTAGGATGGGAAAGCCTGGAGCTGGGATGGGACCCCACCTGAAGACGAGGCTCCCATCTGTGCGGGAAGCCGTCTCACTCCACTGAGCACCCACAAGACTTGGGCATCTTCAGGGAAACTCGCTTTTTCACACTTTTTTTCTATTGTCAGGAGAAGAAACATGTTTACTCCTGAAAAGATCATCAAAACTAAATGTGTACACAAAACCCACTAATCCCCTACGCAGGGAAGAAAGAGACCTGAGGGGGAAGACTCGAGCACAGGGAAGTCAAGCCACTGGGCTGGAGCCAGACAGCAGGTCTACAGACTTCTGGGCCAGATTGCTCCTCCTGTGGTTGAAGGTTCTAGACCTATACTGCCTGGGTTCTGCACCCAAGATGCTTCACTGTCCATGTGCTTTTGGAAATCGCTTCACCACTCTGTAACTGAGTTTCCTTCAAATTTGATTCAAAGCAGTGGATCCTTTTGGGTCCCATGAACTACTGAGTGAATGAAAGAAAAGTGTGTGTGTGTGTGTGTGTGCACTTCTCTCAGATGCACACATTTACATAAATACGGCTTAGGACAGCACCCAGCATTTAGGAAACACTTAAAATGGTAACTATTACTGTTTTATAATTAGCTTTGTGCCAGGCACGTTACATATGTGGCCTCATCCAACTTTGTTCTGACCATTGTGAGACAGCTGTGATCCTCACTGATTCATAGAAGAGGCAACTTAGGGCCACCTGGCAGAAAGACTTTATCCTGAACCTCAGAGGGACTCCACGGTTTGCCCCGGTGGGGATGTGTTCCTCTAGGGAGTTCCAGTGGTTAATCTGGGATCCATTGCATCTTCTAGGATACATGGAAGTGCAGGTTCACCAGAGGAGATGATGTATTTGTTGTCCAGGCTTTGCGATGGTTTCAGGCACACCTGGATCAGATGGCCAGCAGGTGTTCAGTCTGTGTTCTCTCTCAGGGAGAGAAGGAAGCCCTCTGAGATGGATAGGGAGAGTAAGGTAAGAGAGAGATGGCAGCCATCTCTGGATGTCCCACAAGAGTGTGGCAGGATGGGAGAGATGACAGTCCCCTTCCCTTGTACACCTCTCTGGAATATGCAGACCTGCAAGACAATAGTAAACCTCAAGACAATAGTCCCCAGGGCCAGTGCTGTGGCACAGTGGATTGAAGCCCTGGCCTGGAACATCCCATATGGGCACCGGTTCGAGTCCCGGCTGCTCCTCTTCCGATATAGCTCTCTGCTGTGGCCTGGGATAGCAGTGGAAGATGGACCAAGTCCTTGGGCCCCTGCACCTGCCTGGGAGACCTGGAAGAAGCTCTTGGCTCCTGGCTTCAGATCGGCACAGCTCCAGCCATTGCGGCCATCTGGGGAGTGAACCAGCAGATGGAAGATATCTCTCTCTCTGCCTCTCTCTGTAACTCTGTCTTTCAAATAAATAAAATGAATCTTAAAAAAAAAGGCAATAGCCCCCTTCTCCTTCCCAACTTCCACTTATGTCTGAGCCCACACCCCAGCATTTCCACTTACTCCTTCTGTGAGACTGCACAACTCACCCCGCTGTCATCTATGAATGTAAGTGCACAATCCCTGACCCCCAGAGGTCATGCACATCTCAAACTCTGCTCCTTAACTTCAGCTGCACACATGAGTTATCTGGAAGGATTTCATTAATGCTGACACCTGGGGCTCACCCCAGAGATTCTGAAAGGATTGTTCTGAGGTTCTGCCCGCACAGCAGGAGCCTCAAAGACTGATTCAAACACACCATGAAAAACGGAGAACCTCTGGAACACATGTAGCAGGTCCTCAACTGAAACTACCACCTTCCATCTCTTTAGTGTTAACTGCCAATTCCAACTTTGCTTTTAAAGGCTTTCCAGTTTCTCCGGATGGTTCAAGAATTCCTCATTTCTGCCATCCCACCTGAGCACATTCTTATATTGACTCTGCACTTTCAAAACAAATGACTCGACCCCCAGCCAATCAGCGGGGCCCTTTATCCAGCTTTGGCTCCTCTTCTGCTGATGAGATGGAGCCAATTGGTTAAGACACACAATGCCCTCCTGGAGATGCCAATGAGAAAATCCAACAGATGGAATGATCCATTGTTCACTCTTCAGCCAGGGAACGTCACCATTTGTCTCCAAATCCCTCCCTCACAGTGTACAAAAGCTCACATTACAAAACCCCAAGTACTGTTGAGTGGCTCTTAGATGACAATGCCTCTCCCACCTGGGTCCATGGGCCAGCCCGCCCCCACCTGCCTTTGTAGGAGTGCCCACCTCCATTCTTCACGGACCACTCCCATGTCAGGAGATGCACCATCAGCCAGTCACTCATTCCCGGCCCCGCCTCCTCTGAAGACACTCTACCCCAGTCTCGCTGTTCCCCCAAGCATTCCATGCTTTGCGTGTGTGTGCCCCGTGCCTTACATCCCTCTCCTCCCATGGTCTACCTGGAAGGCTTTTACTCACCTTCAGAACCCCTATTCAAATGCTCTCCTCTGCAGTTTACCTAACCTGTTCTCCAACCTCAGCCACAAATCCCACCCCCATCCTCTTCCCAGGCAAACACAATTTAGTTGTTTCCATGTCTGCATCCTCACAATTTCTGTACTGCTCAGCATGACCATGATACATTATATTCATTTGCTATACCAGATAAGGATTTTCAAAACGTTGTCTTTGTATCACCAACTCCTAGTGTATGGGGACAGATCTTAGCAGGTGCAAACTGAATGTTTCTTGGACTGAATCCAATTCTCTGTGCTCAAATCTACACCAATGCATTTTTTTAAACACCTCCTCCAAAATAATCAAGATGGATTTTTCTGTCACCCTCTAGAAGCGTTATTAGTATTCATCTGCTGTGACAGAACTTTAACAAGGAAAGATTAATTTGCTTGCCCATGGATGTAGATGTGAACAAAAAAATACAATAAACACTTACCACAAATCTGAGACAACACAAGAGATGTCTTGCCTCTGGAAGGAATAACTACATTTTACCAGAAAAGGGGCATATTTGACAGATGACAAGATGAAAGGGCTCGGGGGTGGAATATTTTGCTGTTTTATTTCCTGATATGGGGAGGTGGGGGGAGCCTGGGGGCTGATGAGAGGCAGAACACCTGCTTTACCTTCTCCGGAGCAGGCAGCTGTAAGTGATTAACCTCCAGGGGGGTGATGAGAGGGACGGTCTGGAAGCCATCCTCGACCGAAGGCGGCTTGCTGCCCTTCTCGCTGGGGTTACTGTTCAGCTTCACCATCCTTATGCCTTTCTTCCCAGACCTAAGGCAAGCAGGGGGATTCTGGTTACGGCAGGAGGCAAAGCAGGGAAAGAGAGGGCTGGCGACAGAGAAAACAGTGCTGTCCTCAACAGCTCCATTTGGGTGGCTTTCAATCTACTGATCAGTCATTGATCTTCTGGTTAGATTTCCTGACATGATCCCCATCATCCAGTAAAACTTCTTTAATCATCAAAATATGCCACTTGACCATGGGGTTTGACAGCCCTCAAATTTAAAAAGCTGAGGAAGATCCAGGACACACACACACACACACACACACACACACACAAATACAAGCTTAAAAAATGCCTAAGACACTAGAGCCTAAGTATCCACATAATACCAGTGAGAAGCCTACTCTTAGTGCAAAATGCAATTCTATTATCCTAGATCCCCCTGCAGTATGATGTATTTGATTTCACCATCCTGCTTGCTATTTTATTATATTGATTTTTCTTCAGCAATCTCCCTAAAATACAACATTTTTTTAATGTCTCTGGGTGCAACCTTTTACAGCCTATGTATGCTGCACATGAAATACAATTTCCTAAAGCAACAAGAGGCTGATTTGAATCTGATCCTTTTATGCAGCCATGAAATACCTCCATTTCCTCAATAGCAAAGGGCCATTTTTTGTTGTTGTTGTTCCATGGAAAGTTAGCAGCCCCTGTGTTGCAAGATTGCCAACTAAATAAACAAATCACATATTTTCCTCTCTAGCTCCCTTGGGTGTCAAACCATGATCCCACCCCACCCTCAAAAGCCCGGCACAACTGAATTTCTCCTGCCAATCCTGCACATGGAACATTATTAAACAAAACAGGGTCGTTGTGGGGGTGCAGAGGATGGCAGGGTTCGGGGGATATCAGGGAGTGGTTACCGCAGAAATAAACGCCTACTTACTGTGCTGCACTCTTGGGGGTCAGAGCAGATGCAAACCAATTTGAGGAGGAGGAGGACGAACAGGAGTCCTCCCTCCTCAGCCCGAGCTTGTGGTGCTGAAAGGACAGCGCCTCGCGTGAGTCTGGATCGGAGCTTCTGAGAGCAAGGCGCGAGAGCGAGCGGGGAAGATCTGGCAGCTGCCTGCCTGCTTGCTCGCTCGCTCGCTCATTCGTGCCCCCCTCCCACCGGGGAACAGGCTCCCACACCATCTGTCATCTGGCACCCCCTGCTGTTTCTCATGCATGGCCACAACCACTGCATGGGACAAAACGGTTTCAAGAAAGTGGGAGGGATCCTTTCCACGCCAACAAAAATAAAATAATTAATATCCAGCATATAACAAGCAATCCTTGTACCTTTGGAAAAACTGAACAAGCAAGCACATACATTAGAAGTGGTCACCTCTCAAGACCTTCCAGAACAACACTATGAAACACAGACTTGTCTAAGACTTACACCATGCTATGAACTATGCTGAGGAGAGAAGGGGAACTAATAATTGTTATGTATCTCCAATGGAGTGAGCACCCTTACAGCCTCTTTAAAATGGTTTCTGCCCATTGCAAAATGTGATTTCTAGTAGTACCTACGTGATGGGTAAGTGTGAGGCATGAATGAGATGGCACAGGGAAAGCGCTTAGCACAGAGCAGGGCACCTGGCAAGCACTACCTAAACATAAGCTGCTACTCCCTCCACTGTGCTGTAGTCACACAGGTCAGCTCAGGTCATAGTGCTGGGATAGCTCCAGCACTGGCTCTAGAACCTTGGTTCATTGCCACTAAAGTCTGAATCCAAGCTACACGAGGATACAGGATTGTTGCCTGGAATCAGAGAGGGCAAAGTCCTAGTGTCAGCTTACTAGACTGGGATGGTGTGAATCTTGGACATCTTGCATTCACCCTCTAGCCTTCCACTCTCTTATCATTACTGTAAGAATATTAACACCTCTGTCCTTGTCCATCCTCTGTTACTATAACAAAACACCTGAGGGCAGGTAGTTTACAAAACATAGAAATTTATTTGGCTCATGGTTCTGGTGGCCAGGAAGTTCATGAGCATGGAACTGACATGGCTCAGCATCTATGAGGGTCTTTGTTACACAGTGGAGGGCACCACGTGGTGAGACAGAGCAAGCTGCTAGCTCCAGTGTCGCTTCCTCTTCTTATAAAGCCACTAACACCATTATGCCCCCTCCCATTTAATCCACTGACCTTTCAAAAGCTCCATCTCCAAACACCACTAACCAATAAAGGTGTGGGTTAAATTTCCAACACGTGAGGTTTTGGGAGACATATTTCAAATCATAGCAACAGTCTATAGCCATACCACCCTGAACGCACCTGATCTCGTCAAATCATAGCAACTTCCCTTGCTGAGCGGTTGTGAGTCTGGGAAGAGATTACACTCAAAGGACCCCTTTTTAACTTGATGGGAAAGATCTGAACAGCTCAATTACCTCCTGACTGAAGACTGCTCTTATACTGCAAATCCTCTGAGGTCAAGATTGTTGCCCCTGGTTCCTCCTGTGATTCAAATCCATGCTGGTTGTTCCTCCCCAGCTGCAGTGCTGTTTATGATGGATTTCATGAAGTCTAACTGCCTTAGCCTTTGTAATAGTGTCCCTTTAGCTCTCAAAAATATCCTAGTTTGTGTCAGAATTTGTTTGATCACCCTAGATAGTGCTCATGTGCTAATAATACACTCTACTAACTAAAATACCAGAAGAAAACATACTTATTATATGTAATGTTCAGTAATAAAGTGTGTGTGTGTGTGTGAGAGAGAGAGAGAGAGAGAGAGAAGACAAAGATGTTTCTGAGACAATACAGGCTAAAACACAAGCATTGGACTCCATTAATAGAAGGATGCATATGTGTGACAGGTAGATATTTTAATAAATGTTAGACCTCCATTTCCTCCTTTTCAAATACTTGGATAATTTCTAGGGACAAGCATTATCTAAGAACAACATAATATAGACATTCACACAGAGTCAGTTGTGAGCATTTGTGTTCAATTCTACTATTTCTGCCTCCAACGGAAAAGAAATTCTCTTTGACATGTCTTGCAACTGCCATAAGCACAAATTGAACTTTAAGTAATTCTGGAAGTTTAGCATGGTCAGAAGAATGGATTGTCTCATGGTAATGGAAAACCCAAACTTCCTGTTAGGTGAGGCCAGGAGAGAAGCTGAAAGAAGAAACAAGAGGCTGGAATGATGTAGAAGATCGTCCCTCTCATTAGAGAATGAGATGGAGAGGTTCCTAATGGAATAGACCATCACTCTCCCATGAAGTTCTTTCAAATACGTTTGATAGTTGAAAACTAAAATTATGACATTTTCTGATGAGATTTTTCAATGTATAAAAACAGAATACTTAAGACAGCTGCAAAACTAATAGTGGGGGATAGACAATCAATACAGTGGTAATGTTTCAACATTGCACTTGAAATTGCAAAATATGTATTATCCCAATCAAACTGTGAAAAGTTAAATGTCTATTGTAATGCCTAGGGCAACCAAAATTATGCAAAAAGACATGGTCAAAATGCAATAGGGCAATTAAAATAGAACACAAAAGAGTTTAAATCACCCAAGGAAAGCAGAATAAAAGAAATAACCGGCAAAGAAAAATGAGGGAGCAGAATACAAATAATAAAATAGTAGGCTTAAATCTAAACACATCAGCAACTGCATTCAGTATAAGTGGTCTAAATAAACCACTGAGTTTAAAAGTGAAAAATCTCCTATGTTCACAGATTGGAAGAATTAATGGTATCAATGTATTTAAACTACCCAAAGCAATTTACAGGTTCAACACAATCTCCCACAAAATACCAAAGACATTCCTCACAGAGTTAGAAAAAAAATCCTGAAATTCTTATAGACACACAGAAGATCTCAGGTAGTCAAAGCAACTGTAAACCATAAAAACAAACCAGATTTCAATATGTACTACAAGGTGAAACAACCGTAACAGTACAATACTGGCATAAAAATAAAAACAGAGACCAATGGAACAGAATAGAAACTCCAGAAATAAATCCACAGATCTAAAATTACCTTTTCTTTGACAAATGTCCAAAAAAACATCCCCTGGACTGTCTCTTCAGTAAGTGGCGTTGAAGAAATTGGATTTCCCCAGGCAGCCGTCTTATGCAAGACCCCTACCTTACACCTTTTACAAAAATCAACTCAAAGTGGATCAAGGAACTAGATCTAAGACTGGAAACTATCAAATTACCAGAGGAAAACACAGGAGAACCACCCCCAGACATTGCCAGAGACAATGACTTTTTGAGTAAGACTCCAAAAGCACAGGCAGCAAAAGCAGAAATAAACAAATGGGATTATATCAAAGCCGGAAGCTTCAAGTAACAGAGTTAAGAGACAACTGACAAAATGGCAGAAAATATTTGCAAACTATGCATCTGATAAAGGATTAATATCCGTAATATATAAGGGGCTCAAGAAATTCAACAAACGCAAAATCAATCCAGTTATGAAATGGGCAAGGGATCTGAATAGACTTTTTCAAGAGAAGAAATACAAATGATCACCAAAACATAAAAAATGTTCAAAATCACTAATCATTAAAAACCACAATGAGGTATCACCTCACTCCAGTTAGAAAGGCTGTTATCCAAAAGTCAAAAAATAACAAAAAATGCTGATGAAGATGTGGAGAAAATGGTACCTTAAGATACTATTGGTGAGAATGCAGATAGTACAGCTATTATGGAAAACACTATGGAGATTCCTCAAAAAATTAAAAATAGATCTACTGTATCAACCCAGCCATCCCATTTCTGGGAATATATCCAAAGGAAATGAAGTCAGCATACGAAAGACATACTTATACCCGCATGTTTACTGCAGCCCAGTTCACAATAGCAAAGATATGGAATCAAATGATGAATGGCTTTTTAATGTGATTTAAATATAGTGATATAAATATAGGGATATATATGATTAAGTATTACTCAGACATAAAAATAAATGAAATCCTCATATCTGCAACAACATGGATGGAACTGCACATTATTATGCTGAGTGAATAAGCCAGACACAGAAAGACAGATTCCACATTTCCTCTCCAATGTGGAGGTTAACATATATAATAAATATATTACTTACAAATACACAAAACATATTGTATGAAAATATTTGGATGTCATATTAGTTGGTATAGAGATATTTATAAGTATTGTCTTCAATGAATTATATACCTTACATAATAATATAGCCCTCTTTCCTCCCTCTTTTATACTTGTCATGAATCTCACATTACAGATACTATTATGCCTGATTTAAAGAAAAATAGCTAGTATGTGTATGTATATAATGTTTATATATGAAGCAAATATGAAAGTATTTCTTTCTTGGTAATTGATAGAACAAACAAAAATCAGCAAAGATAGAGAATAAGGTTTCTCAGCCTCGGGACTGTTAACATTTTGGAATGGATTATTATTTGGGGGGAGACTGTCTTGTGTATTGTAGGATGCTTATAGCAGGATCCCTGGCCTGTATGTATGTGGGTTCCCCCCAAGCTGCACCAATCAAAAACATCTCTAGACATTGCCAAGTGTTCAGGGAATGGGACAAAAATTAGCCCCAGTTAAGAACGACTGCTGTAGAAAAACCAAACAAAATCTTCAGTCAGCTGACTTTATAGGAAACTATCCAACAACAGGAGAAAAAGAACACAGGGAACACTTAGCAAGATGATCTCCTGAGTTATAAAACAAACCTAAATGATTTTTTTTAATTGAGATGATATAAAGATGTTCTCTAGGGCCAGTGTTGTGGTACAGCAGATTAAACCACCACCCAGAATGTAGGCATCCTATATCCAAGCACCAGATCAAGCTCAGCTTCCAATCCAGCTTCCTGCCAACGTGCCTGGGAAAGAAGTGGAAGATAGCTTCAGTACTTGGTCCGCTGTATTCCAGCTGAGTGGAGTTTTAGGCTCCAGGATTCAGCCTGGCCCAGCCTTGGCTGCTGCAGCCATTTAGGGAGTGAACCAGTGGATAGAAGAGAGCTCCCTCTTCCCTCTCCCCTCTCCCCTCTCCCCTTTCCCTCTGACTTTGTAAAAAGAAATATCTTTCTCTTACCTATAATGGAATTAGAGCATAACATCAATGACATTCT